CCTTTTCCTCCATTCTGGGTCCAACCCTCATACCTATCTGCTCGAGCAAACTGGTGGTCTCTGTATCGACCGAAGGATACAGTGGTGTCATCCTGACGGGGTATCGAAGAGATACCGACCCTAAGGTCACATTTGCACCCTCAACTGGGTAAAATTTCAGATATCTAGTTTTCTCAAATCAAGTGATCATTCTACTAAGAGCTGGTGGATTTAATGGTTCTTGAAATAGGAATTTCTCATTGTAAAAATTTAAGTGCATCAGCAGCATTGCCATCATTTTCATAAAGCAGTTTCTAACAAAGTGATGGTATATTTGCATAAGCACACATTATGGCCAATAGGCCATAATGTGTGCTTATGCAAATATACCATGTGTGCTTATGCAATAAACCATAATGTGTGCTTATTTTTCCATAAGCACACATTATGGCCAATAGGCCATAATGTGTGCTTATGCAAAATGCATTTTTGTTGCTTGTAGTACCAAAAGTGCCATAGTGGTGAGTTTTGTTTTTTTTTTTCTTAACAGAAATGTCATCACACCAGATTTGGTTGCATTTGGCATGCCAAATAACTATATAGACAGACATGAATAGGAGTACTTTAACTATGACCACCCAGTACTTCATAGTCTATGTCAAGTTATCAACCTGATATAGAGTATGCAGAAACTGCATGAATAATATAAAAGCCATTGTGTGTGTGTGTGTGTGCATTCATTATAACTCCTGCAATTTTTGTCCAATCCAGATGAAATTTATGATGATGTATGTTGGATTTTTCCACTGTTGTTTTTTATAATAATTTAGTTATGCATAAAAATGCATATTCTGAATGCTATCAGACATTATACATGGATACATAAGTCATTGCATTGTGACAATGTCACAATAAATGTTTTAATTAAAAATACTTGTTTGAGCTAAATTTACTGCCGTTTTGAGTTTTAAAAATTGATTTTTCAAAATGAGTCAGTGTAGACATTTGTGGCTCAAGTGAATGAATTCAAAAATTGTTTAATTCATGATGATGACGATGATGATGATGATATTTGTTTGGATCATTACATCATTTGCCAAACCTCATTTAGTATTAAATATGATGGAATTAAGGCATTTACAAGGCACAGCAATTGCAAGGAGCACAAAAAAGAAGTGGATCTTCTCATTTACCTTTACCCCCTGGACATCACATCCAGCAATGAAGCAATTTCCAAAGATGATGACCCTAGATGACACAAGTGGACAGTTCTTCGAGTAAAAGGGAATTAGCTGAAATTTCTTTGAAGGTAGTGTTGCAATATTAACTTTATCTGAAATAAGATTACAAATTTATTTTGTAGTACACAATAAAAGCATGCATATCCACACATAAATGGAGAATTTTCAGGTTTCTTTCAAAAGATTGATTCTTAATTTTCCATTCTTAAGCTTGATGTTCATTAATTAATGAATGTACCATACTCATAATGTAAATCATTAATTTTTCTAAACTAAAATAAACTTTAGAAAGTATTCAAAAGAATCAGATGCAACCATGAACAATACTAAAGATTGTTAAGTTCAAATATATGTGTTTTTTCTACATGTAGTTTTTATTCTGTATACCTACTCTTATTTTATTTTTCCAATGCTAAAAATGTATTGCTTATTTGTTTATTTTATTAAACTTAAATTGTTTGCCAAATTATTAAATTTTAAAAAACAGTTCCAGAAAAATGCTTTTCTAACCTGTATAATGGTAGAATCTTATAACAGGAGGTAATATCTTACATTGTTTTAAATTCATAAATAAAAATAAAAATGGTCTATTGCACTCCTTAATAGATTTTTATTCTTTCACTTTACATGAACAAATATTGTACTTCTCTTTTCAGTAGTAAAAGTTATTGCCATTTTTCTTCCATCTAGACATTCATAAAAGCTTTCATGGAATTGCAGCATGCACGTTTTGAAAGAAATAAAAGCAGTAAATAACACAAATTCTCAAAATATCACCAACCAAATACAACAGACAAATGCAACTAGCATGTGATAATTTAACAAAGAAACAAAGTGTACAGAATGCATTCAAACATACACAGATAGACAAGGTCTACAATTCCCAGACTGGCAACACTGCACCTCTCACACTAGACTTTCTACTAAATGTGGTTTGGTGAATGCCTTCAGATGTTCTCTATGTATGTGCAAAAACTGATCTTGTTCAGTTGTGTTGTCTTGTCATAATGCATCTTGTTTGCAAGTTCTATAGTGACCATGTCATGATCATTAAAAATGCAGCAATAGGCAAATGTCACGTTCTGTGTCAAGATGAGCAAAATTACAATGCAAACATTTCAGATCATAAAAACTGTGGAGACACAACTATATCCTGTACAGAAGTGTTCAAATGGTTTGCCTGGTTTAAGGACAGGTGAGAGAAGATTACAGACAATACAAGACCAGAATGTCATCCACCTCCAGAAATGCAGAAAGGGTGACGTCGGATAGATGAGTACTGCTGAGACCAATGAAGACAAGTTGGACATTATATAAAAGACAGTCTAGATCAGGGGTGGCCAACATGCAGCCCGCCAGGAGTCGTGTTGCGGCCTACGGAGCTAGATCAAATGAACATAAATGTTAACTTTATTGTACATATCACCAAATGAACATTAGAAGAGTTAAGAAGGTTTGGAAGAGTTCTATGAAACATATTTGGACAAGGATAAATATCCTGTGTTTTACAAACATGCTCTGTCGATGGTTTCGCTATTTGGAAACACTTATGCATGTGAACAACTTTTTAGTCACATGAAGTATATCAAATCACAAGTGAGAACATGAATTACTGATGTTCATTTGGAAAACTGTTTGCGTGTAGCGACAACATCAGTTGAAATCAATTTTGATGCACTTAGTTCTGTAAAACAAAGCCAGACGTCTCACTTTTAAATATTTTTAAATTGTCTAATAAATATGTTTCTCGGTTATTAAATAAATGATTCTTGGTTATGTTTTATTTTCTTCAAAAAAATAAATATACCTATTTTTTGTGTTTTTTTTTACATTAAACCAGGCAAGTTTTTGACCACGATCTCACCTACTGGAAAGCAACGATGTGGTTGAAGCTGTAGCACACTTGCTTGTTTACTTTAATTAACAAAAAAAAAAAATTAGGTGCGTGGCCCGGCCAGAAATATTATTTCTGAAATTTGGCCTGCCTGCTAAAAAGGTTGGCCACCCCTGGTCTAGATCATCTTTGAACAGGATTTGGGAAAGAAAGAAGTTTGTGTGCACTTTGTATCTCACGCATTGATAAATGAGCAAAAAGCACAAAGAATGGCATGTGCTGAATAGCTCATTGCTATGGCTGACAACAATGTGAACTTTCTGGATACCATTGTCACTGATGACAAGTGTTGGTGTTTTCAATAAACCTTGGACAAAAAAGACAAAGCATGGAATAGAGGTTGCTGTCATCCGTAAGGAAGAAGAAAATTTATTTCCAGAAATCCTAAATAAAGGTAATGTTAATCACATTTTTCAAAAGAAGGAGCATTATCCACAAGGAATTTGTACTGCAGGGTGTCACAGTCAATGCTGTGCACTATAAAGAGGTCATGTAGCAATTGTCAAAAAAATTTGCCATGTTCAACTGGAGTTTTATCAGCATAGTTTCTGGCATCTTCTCCATGATAATCCCATTGCATACTCTTGTTGCTTGTAAAGTCATTTTTGACCAAAAACATGCTGGTTCAGCTTCAACACCCTTTATATTCCCTGGATCTTGTCCCCCCTGCTGACTACATGCTCTTCCCCAAGCTGAAGATGGCTTTGAAAGGAATGTGTTTCAAGGAAGTTCAGGACATCCAATACACTGTGACAGCCGATCTTGGAGTCTTTACATCTACCATCTTCAAACAGGCCTGTGATTTTTACTGGCAATGTTTACAATATATATTGATAGATCTTAGAGGAGATTACATTAAAGAAAATAAAGCTAATATCTCCAGCTGCTATATCCTTTGATTCTATTGAATCAATCTGAAAATTAAATTAACAGTCCTGGTATGTTTGGATGGCTAATCCTCAAGCTATCTTGATTTTTATTACATGGCCATGGTCAATCCTAACATTTACTGATATGGACTGGTTTTTTTATTTACTGATATAGACAGGTTTTTTTATTTACTGATATGGACTGGAGAACATTTTTTCCACTAGTTTGGACTTTTACCAATGCAACTTGTTAAAACTTAAGATTTATATGTAAAATCCTAGTCTTTACCAAAATTTAGACTTTTATGGTAACACACAAAACTCTCAAGTTTCAATAAAGTTCAATACTGGATTGAAAAATGCTACTTATTCACATGAAGGTCAAGCAAATGAATACAGTTCCTTGTATTCAATTTGCAAAAAAAAAATCACAAACACCATCAAGGTGTTTGTGATTTTTTTGAGAAATGTGGATCCTGATAACTGTATATCTTTATTGTTGTATTTTAACAGGATGATAGTAATCTCTTCGAGCATATACAATGTACCTATTTATGGCATTTAGAAGGTTTGTTCCTGTGTAATGTCAGGGATAAGGAAGGGGTGTAAAGTGGTGTGTTTAGACATACCATCTCAGATCAATACATCATTACCATCAAAAGCATGTCCCTGATCTTGAAGGATACTGAAAATCTTTGATTTCTGGATGCTGTTGCATTAATATAGTTTTATAGTTCTAGTTGTTCTTGATACTTCAGAAATTAATGAAGTTGTTATTGTGATATTATAAATGATCTTGTGTGCAGATATTCTCTCTCTTAACATACTAAAAGCAAATTAATCTAATAACTGTCTTCCTACAATTTTCTACCCCATTAGTCAATATGTTTAAAAATGTGTTTAACAGGAAATACCAATCATATCTTGATTGCTATTTCTTGTTAAACATACATGGCTAACTTTTTTAGTGTTAATCTTTTAATAAATTACTACTAAAAAGACTATTCAGTTACTGACCTCTTCTTCAGAATTGTATAGGAGTGCTCTGATTTTCTCTGCATTTCTACAGGTTTTGACACACAACGGGGACATGATATGATGCGAAGGATAAATATCACATACAGGATTAATTGTTTCACTTTCCTTAACCCTCCATAATGCCAGTGACGTATCTCTCGAACCTAAATATTAAACAACTTAGAAGAAAAATATGTATCTTCCCTTCTTATATTAAAAAGAAATTTAACTTACCAGTAACTAAAAACTCATCATCAATCCACGTTATATCAAATATCCAATCCCTGTGAGCTTCCTTAAATTTGTAAAAATTTAATCTTGCATCTTTCAAACATATAGGATTTATAAGATCTGAAATCGTACCTCTCCCACACAGACAGGATCAAAAGTTGGCAATTTATAGACTGCCAGATCGTTGGCATTCAGACCACCAGTAGCAAGCATTGTCCTAGATGGATTGATCTCCAAAGCATGCATGCCGCAAGGATTCTCTGGTTGCACTTTGTCTTCACTGCCCATCAAACTAGGAATCTGCACCATCTTGTTAGTGGTAACGTCAAGAACCATTAACTGAAAATTTAAAATTTTAATCACTGAGTGCAATGTTTCAATCCATAGAATTTGGGATTAACATAAAATTTTGTCTCTATTTCAGAAAAAAGATACTAATAGGAAAATATACACACAATCATATAACTACAAAATTTAGTTTTGGATATTCTAAATCAAAAACAAAGTTGTCAAATGAACTTTGTCAGTACTTTTATGTTACAGGTCTACATGTTGAATTCCAGTATCATGCCACACACTGTTGTGTTACTTGTGGACCGATGCAACATAATATTGGTTTATAATTTCAAAAGAGGAATTTGAAGTATGAAAAAAATTAAAACCTAAGTAAGAAATATCTGCATTGAAAACTTCAAAAATAATTTTATTATTTATATAATTATTTATATTTAATCTCAAAATTATGTTTTTATTATGAAATATTTATGTAGGAAATACAAAACTTATTATCCATCAGTTTGCAAATTAGTCCATCTGTTCAGCATTTCAGGTTAGACATACTGTTGAGAAGAAAAATGTTTTGTTCACTTTTTTTCAATTTGTTAAAGCATGAATAAAATGTATTCCATATTCTGCAGGAATATGTATATTACATTACATTCTCAGTGTTTTTTCATAAAAGGTAATAAAATATAGTTATCATAGATGAATTAACTCCACCATGCAATCTCTAGAGAAAACATGCCAGTCCCAAGCCTGGAAAAAGGAGGGTTGGTTAGATGAGTGTCAATGCGAAGAAAGAAAGAAAAGAAAGCTTCACCCAGCAACACAAGTCCTTTCAGTAAGAACTTGGGATGTCAGAATGTTATGGTCTCTTGGAAAACTAGAGCTACTTTGGAAGGAAATGGAGAGATATCAATGGGACATATTAGGCTTAGCAGAGATGAGTTGGACAGCATTGGGAGAACTGAATGGTGGTGAAATCATCTGGTCAGAAAATGATACAAGGCATGAAGCTGGTGTTGAATTTCTGCTTAGTAAAAGAGCACAAGCAGCATTGTTAGGATACAATCCAGTTAGTGCAAGATTGATGATGGCAAGGTTTGAAGCAAATCCATTTAATATATCAGTAATCCAGGTATATGCACCTACCTCAGATAGCAGTAAAGAGGAGATTAAACTTTTCTATAAAGATCTACACATGATAATAGAGAAAACACTGCGGAGAGATGTGATCATCATTGGAGGTGACTGGAATGCTAAGATTGGAAATAATAATGAAGGTTGAGAAAGAGTAATGGGTAAGTATGGATATGGAGCAAGGAATGAACGAGGGGAAAGACTGCTTGAATTTGCCCTAGATCAAGATTTAATGATATGTAACACCAAATTCCAGCAAAAGAACTGTAGAAAATAGACATGGAGATCAAGTGATGGAACAACAAGAAACATTATTGATATGATTTTGATCCAAAGGAGATAGTCAACATCAGTTCAACAGTGTCAAACCTTTTAGGGAGCCAACATAGATTCTGATCAAATCTTAGTCATTGCAAACAAAGATTAAACTGAAGAGGAAAGTTAATGCACATTTCCAAAAGAAAAGAGACATTTCAAAGCTAAAAGATGAGAAAATAGGGAGCATATATAAAAATACACTTGAGAAAAAGATAAAAATCCTAGACAGGATGGAAGAGCTAGACAGAAGAGTGGAAGAAATAACAAAGGCAGCAATTGAGAAGCAATTGAGCAAACCCTACCAGAAGAGGAAAAAATCAAGAAGAAATGGATCACACAAGAGACCCTAAAGCTTGTCCAAGAGAAAAGAGCTCTTAGGCTTAGAAGAGACATTTCTGAAGAGCTGGAAAAACAGTATAAGGTAAAGTGCAATGAAGTGAAAAAAGCAGTTAGGATGGAAAAAGCAAAATGGCTAGAGGATCAATGTAGAAACATACAAAAATATTATGGAGAATGCAAGACTAGACAAGTATATAAGATGATCAGAAATGTCAATCAGAAATGGAAACCAAAACAAATGGCAATCAAAGATGAGAGCTTTACATATTTAGGAAGCAAACAAACCTATAATCTGGACTGCAAAAAAGAAATAGATTAGAATAGCTAAGGCAAAAACAAATTTGAAAGCAATGGACAAAATCTGGAAAAGTAAAGCATTAGTTTGCAGACAAAATTAAAAGTATTGAACATCTGCATCATCTCCTGCATGCTGTATGTCTGTGAGACATGGGTAATAACAAAAGATATGGAAAGAAAAATATTAGCATTTGAAAGACACTGTTAGAGAAAGATCTTACAAACATGATGGATGCAGAAAGTCACAAACAAAGAACTTAATAATAGGATATATGTATATGAAAAAGAATCTCTTACAAAAAATTATACAACAAAAACTTCAACTGTTTGGACACATTACACAAATGAATAAAAACAGAAAAATTAAGACTTTAGCATATGGTATCATGGATGGATTGAATAAAAGAGACAGACCATATAGAGAATGGATTGATGACATGAAGTGGTGTGGAGTGAATGTATGAGAATTGAAAAAATTGGCAATGGATAGAGAGAAATGGAAGAAAATAGTGGGAAACGCATCAGACACCAACGAGCAATGAGCTCAGCGTTAATGATGATGAGAGATGAATTGGAAAATCTTGCTCATTGTAAAGGGCACTGTGAGCCTGAAAAGTTGAAGAATCATAAACACTTTTATGCAACAGAGTGCTGCACTGGAACACAACATGTAAAAGTACTGCTTTGTTTCTTCACTTACTATTACAATTTGAGCATTAGCCTCCGAAACAACAATAGTTGCGCAGCCAATATTTCGAAACCATGGTTAATTATTCATTTTTTGCAATACATGGCTTATAAAATGCAATATCTAGCATAACAAAACCAGGTCAACTCTTTGGATACTAACCTACTCTGCACATGTAAAATGCACTTTCGCACGCGTACGCACAGAATTCAAGAGAGAAGCAGGTGGGATTAAATTAACAAGACAATTCAGATGCATAAAAAAATTACAGTGCCAGGTAACGTAATACGCAGTAACTATCAAAACAGGCCATAGTTGTCCCACGCGTGGTTGATTTCTGGCAACAGCTTGCCGAGGACCTGTCACTTTTCAGAGGACGTCACCCGGTTACCCAGGAATGACGTTATTTACCTAATCTTACGCAATGGGAGTCGTGTCGCACGCATTATTATATTTATTTCTACCTTAAAAAACAAAACCAAATACTTTGGCACAAAGAGGAAACTCTCAGCACCACGAACACCCCAGAGACGCTCCCACTTTCCTGTCACCATTTCTTTCCATAACAAAGCGGAACAAGACATCGGTGGAGTTTGTTCCGTTAGTTACCTTATTGCACTTGGTCCCGAACACAATCTGGCGGTCGGAGAGCCATTTAGAACAGAAGACTTTATTGAGCCTTCCCAGAGGGATCTCACACTCCCTCAAGATGCCGCAGGATAGCATATGACGTATACCGTGTGCCCTGAAATTGCAATTACTCTTTACACGTCTCCCAATCTCCCTATTGACGACATAGTCAACGAAACTGGAGGCATTCTCTTCATCCTTATCCCGCGACGGTTTCTTCACAATTTCAGTGTAAGTCGACTGCTCTTCGTCATCACTAGCCACAGAAACGGATTCATACATAAATATCATAATTAATTATTTCTTTTACTAGTCTGCACCTTTATAGAGTAATTATAGTCTGTATACATATCACAATCAATCACATGCCGAACAATGATATTTAACGACGGCTAAACAATCTCTGGCTATTATCACTCGATTAACTATAACGAAAAAGTGCATTTAACATCAAAGAATATCGTGCAACTTATTCGAATTTCTGTAATTTTCCTCAATTTTACTCTTTCAATTCTAAATTTCCAACTTCTAACACAATAAACAGAACTACTACAGCGCCATCTAACATACACCATATTAACTTTTTTTAATTTACTAAAAATATTTTTCATAAACCAAACTTTTAAAAACTAATAACTATTAAATACATATTAAATATAACTAATAAATTTAATTAAATATTAATAGAATTTTCTATGTTTTGGACACTTACTTGCGCAAGTACAATTTCGACTACTATAGGAAAAGGACACGCCATCGGTGACGGCTCAAATTCGAAAATTATAAATTTGAATAAATACTAATAATTCGGCATGTATCAGAACGGGAATGGTTTTTCTTTGAGCCGGAAAAAGGCGCGAAATTCAGCCGCCATCCTGGTGTGCTCATTTTGTTCCTCGATTTCAGTGATTTTAAGTAACTCTTTCCTGCGACTTTCGTCGACTTTACTGCAGTTCCTTATTCTTTATCTTCTGATCTTCCTCTTTGGTCTTTTCTCTGCCCAGGTAGGAGTTTTCATCTTTCTTTCAGCCGGAGTAGCTTCTCCTCCGGACTCGTTTATGGCGTCGCCTTTGCGCGAGCGCCTTCAGCAGCCACCGTCGGAATCGGAAGCACTCATAACTTCTGATGAATTAAGATTTATTTCTCCTCTGTCGGAATTGGAGAAACTATTCTCCATCCCTTCCTTCGGACCGAATCTATACAATTTGCCTGGAATGACAGCAGTGGCGCGCCGTTATTGGAAGAGGTGAATGCGCCGCTTCCCTTGTATTTTCTAAAAACTAAATACATATTAATTTTAATTATATGAAAATAATCGCACAATATTTTATTATAACCGCATTATGTATCTTATTACAAATTTCTATACTACACGTAAAAAAAAAGATTGCTATTGTATGTTCGAATATTAGTGGCGGAATGGAGGCGCTGTATCGTCAGCATCCAAACAAGGTCTATATAAGAAGGTCAGGACACGCGTGACGCTTCTTGAGACGCCATTTTGGGGTTTTTTGAGTCGCGTGTTTTAAGCAAACTTGTACGAGCAGTCACTTTTATACGAAATTAATTAAACTAAAATTGCATAAATTCAGTGATTTTCAGTCAAAAATATAATAATAATTTCGGATGATTACGCAACCGCAATTTTACGTAATGTTTTCATCAAATAGTTTAAAAGAAACAATCATCATATCATTCGCTGTCGTGATTAAAATTAATTAAATAGGTGTTAAAACTGATGCAATTACGTATATAGGCACTTCGTAAAGTGATGCAATAACATCAAAAAAATTTAAAGCATAATAAAGAATATAACAATTAGTGATGTAACGAATATTCGGTTACTATTCGGTATTCGGCCTATTCGGCGTATTCTTCACTATTCGGCCGAATACCGAATACTTAAAAACAGGATAAATAAATAACAAAAACACAGTAAATTAATCATTTTGGTATTTAGATTTAATGTTATCGAGTTAGTGTTGTTTGTTTATATTTATTTATAACTTGTAACATGCACAAAATAAAAAAGAAAATAATATTAGTCACATGTATTCACAATTTATAATTACAAAGATCAGCACACGTACACGTCTATCGTTGGAGAATCC